TCCTGCTCTTCCTACTGTTCCTGCTGTTCTTACTGTTCCTGCTGTTCCTGCTGTTCCTACTGTTCTTACTGTTCCTGCTGTTCCTGCTGTTCCTGCTGTTCCTACTTTTCCTGGTGTTCCTGCTGTTCCTACTGTTCCTGCTGTTCCTACTGTTCCTGCTGTTCTTGCTGTTCTTACTGTTCCTGTTGTTCCTGCTGTTCCTGCTGTTCCTGCTGTTCTTACTGTTCCTGTTGTTCCTGCTGTTCCTACTGTTCCTGCTGTTCTTACTGTTCCTGTTGTTCCTGCTGTTCCTACTGTTCCTGCTGTTCCTGCTGTTCTTGCTGTTCCTTGTTTACATCCATGTACTCTTATTGTTCTCCTATTTATTGGTTACTGTCTTGATTCTGTTTTACCGCTGCTGTAAAGGCAAACTTTGACAAAGCTGAACTTTTATACTCTTGTGAACTTCACCTCAAAGAAAGAGACAGATTTAAAGCAAAGACAGAAGCTGTTTATTATATTTTGATTATTATAGTTGATTCCAGGAGCCAGCACAACAAAAGGCTCCGTTTCAAACAGAGAGGCAACATGTGCACGTTACAACCTCAAGCTCTAATTAACGAACGTTACACACACAAACTGTCCTGCAGTCACTTTATAAAACATGTCCAGCACTGGCACACGGGGCTCTCATTAGAGCGTCTCTAACCCCCCCGCAAAGAGTCCACAGAAGTCTGAGTCCAGCTCTTAAAGGCTTGCTTCGGTAATCTTTACCATCTTAAAAAACAAAGTAAGCTCTGGCTTGGTTCCCGTCCAAATGTCAGCAGAGAGAGCTAACCAGTTTGAACAACCAGTTCAGTCAGATCACTCCTTCCTGGAAACTGGAGAGAATATTTTGAATGTGACGAGGAGCTGAGCTCAGCGCTCAGTTCACATCCTCACAGCAGAATCCAGGACAGGCAGAGGGAAGGAGATCAGAAAACTGATGACAGAGAGTAAAGAGGAAGCTCCTTGAAGGAGGAGGAGGAGGAGGAATGTGGAGCAGAGTTTCAGGAGGAGCTGCAGCGCCGCCTCTGCTCTCCTGCAGGCTCCAGGAGCTGGCTGCCCAGACGGCTTGTTATGAGGCTGCAGGGAGGAACCACAAACAAGACAGAGAGCAGAAGTAAGGGCGCCTGGTGGAGGAGAGAGAACACCTCACATGATCTTCAGGAGGTTAAATAAAAACACTGATGGTGACAGGAAGGTGCAGTGCAGCAGGAGGCCAGCAGAGGTCAGTACACAACCACACATCCAGCTGTTGGTTCAGTAGAGAAGGTCTGAAGCTTCTGCAGACAGAACCAGGCTCTGAGGGACACGGTGGGGTTAAAGGCTGTGACAGGACACACAACTCGACAAGACACGTGCACTCAAACTCTGAGAGAAACCAGTCTTCTCATCTTCTCACCTTAAAACTTGTGGCCTTTGAGTTAAACAACAAACTGTAACACCAGACAAGCAGCAGGAAGCAAACATTAACCAAAGCAGCGTGAGCTACAGCACAAGCCGGGACTGTTTCCATGGGTTCATGTGAAACAGGAGGAGGAGGAAATGTGTGTAAACATGACACACTTTTAATTATGCTGAGGCCAACAGACGAGGCACAGATTTTTTATTTATCTTTTGGTGCTGTTGTGCAAACCTGGCAAAGCACCCAAAGGCGTTACCGCCAATCTCTGCAAGCTTCTCCTTTAACAAAGCTCAGCCGGGTACACTTGTCACGATTCATCAGCTTTGGCTCCCGTCCCATGAGAGAAAGCTGCCAGCGCTGAGCAAATTCTGGGTAATTTCTCAGAAGCTCCTCAACCCAAACCTGAGCACTCCCTGTCAGTTCTTCTAGCTGCAACGCTTCAGCAGCATTACCGTATTTTCCACCGTACACGTCGCTCCGCCCTATCATCAGTCCAAATGTGTCTAATAAAGTGAAAAAAAATACATAAATATGTTGCTTCACCATATACGTCGCATCTATTATGCGTCACCGCTAACGTGTCGCGTTTGTTACGCGTCACCGATGACAACCAGGAAATGTGGGCCGGTGTTGTGCCAAAAATCGATTGGCTGCCAAATGGCGGCCGCTGGAGCGTGCACAGGAGGACTTTTTACAAGATAAGCACCTAAAATAATGATTTGTTTGCTCTACATTATAGTAAAGGTGTGTCTCTATTGAACTTTTACTTAATAAATGCACTTCAATGGTCAAGTCAGCTTCATTTCACCGGGGCAGCGCAGTGAAATGAAGCTGATAGGACGTATCTCAGCCAAAAAATTTTTATAAATATGGGAAAAAAATCCATAAATATGTTGCTTCGGTATATAAGTTGCAGGGCATGCAGATTATGAAAAAAACTGCAACTTATAGGGCGAAAAATACAGTAAATACGGTGGAGAAGCAGGGACTTCATCACTCGGGGGAGTTGGTTAGTCATCGCTGCACACTGATCAGGGTGAGTTGAGCAGAGCACGAGGAAAGGTTCAGGCTGCACCCTGCAGGTGACGGGTGTGAGTTCAGACCCAACCTGGAGCACCTCAAACACTTCCAGATTATTACTAATCTGCTACTCACTGTTTCTGGAGGAGGTTCTGCTGCTGCTGCCGGTACGACTCTATTGTGTGCTGCGGCAGGAACTGCATCAGCTCCAGGGACTCTTTGATTTTGACCAAGATCTCGTAAATTTCACGGCCTTTGATCTACGAGACAGAAAAAGCAAACGGTTTTCAGAAAGCAGCTCAGAGGTCAGAACTAGGTTTTAACACGGGACAGTCGAATTCAGTAACCCAGGGGGCCAATTAAAAAATATTTACAGAAAAAAAGTCACTTTTTACATCAAAATATTCAAAAAGAAATATCTTCTGATAATTTTTGTTCTTCTTTCTGCTGCTCCCTTCTTCAGGGGTCCACAGCAACTCACATGAAGACTTGGTGACTGTTTTTACACCGCATGTTCTTCCTGACACCACAGACCACCGAGCTACCACAGCCCTCTGTGGAGCAGAGAGCTGACATCTAGGGGGTCCGGAGGAGCAGATGGTGGGGGTTAAGGGTCTTGCTCAAGGGCCCAGAGTGGGCAAAGGAGGGTGGAGGCAGGTGTGGGTGCTTCACTTTTCCCACCCATTTTTTTAATGTTGGTGCAAGGAATCGAACTGGTGACCTTCTGATCACAGGCCCACCCTAACCTCTGTGCCACCATCCCCCCATCTTCTGATCAGTTATACAGAATTTAAAACAAACTTAACATTTGTTAAAGAAAATTTATTTAAAAGGCCATCGTTAGATTTATTTCTTATAATTTCTGGTGTATAATCTGGTTATAGATGGTTGCTAACATCTTATCTGCTCCTCAAGATGACATTTTATATGAAACATATTTTGAATGTTTCTCGTTTTGTTAAAAACTGAGCACACTTCATTCAGTGCAGATTTCTCATGACGGCTAACTGAAGATCAAAGGTTGGATGTTTGAGTTGGACGTGGAAGACCACCAGAGAGCGTCAAACGAGACCAAAAGAACTCCTGCTGATGAAACTGCAGCCAGGACAACACGTCGGGTGTCTGACCCGGGTGAACGTATCGACTGAAACTGGACTGTGGCTCAGATTAAGTCTTTAATTTTGGCCCCCTTATGTAAATGAGTTTGACCCCCCCGCCTTAATGCAATGAAACTTACAGGTAAACAGAAAACCTCCTCATCTGAAGATCTTCTCTTCTTCACAGTGGACACCTGGATGCCGTGGGAGACTTGGCGGAAGGCTGTAAAAAGGAAAGAGGGTGAGTCCAACTGGGCAGCTGCTGCAGAGTTGGTCTTAGCCAGAGCAGAGGGAAGCAAGCAGGCAGCGTGCGGAGAGCGCTGGGACCAGTCCCTGTTAGTGAGCGCCTCGTCCCGTCGGGTCATGTCAAAGCTCGTCAGCCCGCCACCAACCCCAGCGCTACTTACGGCGTTTCGTACCCTCACTGTTCTTGGAGGCGTCCGTTACGTGCTGCTTGCGGATGCTGTCCTCGTCGGCCTTGCGGTCTCTGCCCGGGCAGGCGCAGATCCTGGCTTCGAAGCAGCGGCGGCCCAACACCTGTCCACTGGGAGAAAGACGGGGGGGGGACACCGGGTCAGAGAGAGTTGAGGGGGCGAGCAAAGAGGGCGATGAAGGTGGACGACAGCGTCTTACTCTCTGGTTTCCAGAGTGACGATGATGAGGATGGGGCGTCTGTTCATTCCACCCACGCAGCTGGAGTTGCACATGAAGTTATATAAAATAGTTGTGAATTCTGTCCCCACCTGAGGAGAAGGGACACAAAGGATGAGTTACTGAAGCATTGAATGTGGTGACAACGTTGGGAATGAGGGGCGTCTCTGACAGGACTCACCTGGGGGGGCTCGTAGGGGACCAACACGCTCTGTCTGCCAGTGATGGAGTCCTCCACATACTGGGCGTGGTTGTTCCCCTCCACGCGGATCAGATGGCTCGGCGGTGCTATCTGACCTGAAAGCGATACGAGTTTCACCGTTAAACGCCACCGGCGAACGACGACGGCTGAAGTGAGACACGAGCGGCGACTGACCGTCGTTGAACTCGCGGCTGAGCTCGTGGTTCGGGCAGCGCTTCACCACCTCGGTCACGTGCTCGGCTTTCTTGTAAACAGGCATGGCCCTGATAACAGCTCCCTGCGGAGGGGGGGTCAGCACTTTGATCTGAATGGGACAAGTCTTGGCGATCTGGCAGTAGAGCTTCTTCAGATCTGTGGAGTACTGGAAAAAATGGAGAAAAGGAAGGTTATTAAAAATGTTTCACTGGGATAGAAAACAACATTTGATTGGAAATTAATTTCTAAACAGGCTTTTTAGTCATTTTTGGTAAAAACAAAACAAACAGATTTCAAAGTTTATTAATCCAGGTAAATAATCCAACAAAGTTAAGTCAGGTCTTCTGGACTAGGGATGCACCACTTTTTTCACGTCCGATACAGATATTGATATCTGAGGTGTAGTATTGATTAATACCAATTCAATACCGATCTGATACAGAAACCCAGTGCTGAACCAACTTAAAACATCTGTTTTTTTAAACGCAGACATAAATGTACTGAATTACAGATTTATTAAAATCTCTGACCAGTACAGCACCCTTAAACACACCAGTAACTTCACAAGCTCAGTCAAACATGTAAAAACAACTCAACTTTAATTTGTTCAGTCAGTGCAATTATGAGCATAACACCCCATGTAGAATAAATAATAATACAGATACTGAAACTGACAAAAACAACTTGGATCAAACATGAAATAAACTTCAACAAACTTTTCAAGTGGTTCAGGAATTCTAAATATAAAATAAATAATAAAGGAGCTGAAACAAGAGGAAAAAACAAAAGCTTCACTAGCTTGGTTGGTAGATATTTAAATAAACAGCAATCAGCTCCTGTCCTTATGGATCGTCACACTGTCACGATACCCGATCAATAACTTTTCTGATATCTGTACCGATACTGATACTAATATTGGGTCAGTGCATCTCTAATCTGGACAGTTTCTTTCAGTCCGGGGAGCCACAGCAAACTCAGTCCCACAAGCAGCACACTCCCATAGTGGGCCAACCAGTTTGCTGGTGATAAGATGGTTTTTGGGACCCGCCCTCTCCCCCCGTCCCCGTGCTTGTGGGACTGAGTTTGTTGTGGCTCCTAGGACTGTTGAAGTTCTTTGGATGAAGGACAAAACGTCTCAACTACAAAAAAAAAAGAAAGAAAGAAAGCATCCAGATGACCTGACTGAATGAAACAGATGGATTTAAGAATCAACGGTTGTAAAAACCTGTGATTTCCCAGAAACAGAAAGGATTAATTCAACACAATGGTTATGACCTACAAACATAACCACGCACGAGTCGTGGAGTTATAAGTGTGTAATGGAGAGCTCAAAGCCCTCTCTCAAGAAGCCTCTGGGACTTCCGGGGCGCGTCATAAAAACGGACCCCTCCAGGAGCAATTCAAGCAGGTCTGTTCTTTCATCTTTGAGAGAGTCCTCTGCTGAAACGTCTAATGGCCGCTCATCACACGGAGCACGGCCTCTGAAGTGGCAGAGACCTTGAGCTCCGCGGCACACTGGATGAAAACGACTCACTTACAGGCCCGAGTGCCCGACTAATCACAGGATCTGTCTGTGAGCGATCCCAGAGTGTGATGGTGCGACGCAGACTGGCTTGTGTTCAAGTTGGCGAGCCAGGAGTCGTAAATAATGGATGTGCCTTGATCCCTGACACTGCTGGATTGATAAGCAGTAAGACGCTGCTGGATCGATAAGCAGTAAGACGCTGCTGGATTGATAAGCAGTAAGGCACTGCT